CTTTCTGAGGTGCATTTTTACAACTTCCCTGTATCCTTGTCATTGACTTTCCTGAACAACTCCCCTTGCTGAAATTTGTAAAGCAGCTTCATGAATTTTATAGCAAGGCCTAGAAGCACCAATTTAAAATCTAAATAGTATAATGACTCCAAATGAGCAAGTTTGATAAATTATTGTAGAAAATTTCAAAAATCAAAATGTGGTAACATCCTTGCCACTCCTTTGCTCTACAAATAATTAAAATGAAAAATTTCCTCTCAGGAAATATATAAAACATTTTTTATTTGTTTTGCTTTGGTGGGAGAAGAGAAAGTAAATCCAGAACAAAAAATTTGGAGTTTTCTTTCTTTGTTTCCTCGGGAATAATCAATGATTCCACAGTAACAGAAACAGTTTGTCCTAACTTAAATAGGCAAAAACACAATTCCTCTCCAATTTCACCATTTTTTTTTCTTTTTTCGTGTAACTATCTTGGTGATGCAGCGTCTAGACTTCTTGGAACAAATGATGGAGTCTGGAATTTATTCTGTGGGTTTGAAAATGGCTTTTAGGTCTCCTACATGCTTACATGTGAAAACTGGTGCTTTCAGAACATGTAAAAATCATCAAGCTGTTTACCAAAAAATAAAATTTATCCATTAATGTCAAAACTTTGAACTACATAATAACAGGGAAATTTTGTATGAATTTATCCATTTTATCGATATCATCTCATTGTAAAGTGGTTCCCATCAGCCGTAGTATCCAAAAAATGCAAAATAATTTATACTCATGAAAGAATTATGGCAGATATTTTCTAGCTTTTGAGAAATACCAGTAAATGAAATTAGCTTAAAGGATGTACATCCATTCTTGTTATAGTTTTAATAAGTAATCCACAGGAGTTTATCAAGTTAAAAGGGCAGATTTTTTATATCGTAGCTCCTTTTCTTAGTCCTTTGTCATTGGTTAGCTGGATAAAATGAAAGCAGTCTCTGAACAACCAGATCTAAACAATTTTTTGTGGAGCCCGGATTATTAAGTATGACTGTAGTTTATCTGTGCTCTTAAGGAAATCAAACTGTGTGCTTGCAGAGAAAGTTCAGAGTTATTTTTCACTGATTACCTAAAGCTGGGAGTTGATCTTACACATAGCTGTAGCCATTTCCTGTAAGCACTTGCTCCTAATTTTATAAGGCTGTCACTTCTTGAGGCTTTACCCTGGAAAACACGTATATACCACAGAAGAGTTTTATTGCAAAAGTTTATCCAGAGATAATAGTCTTACAAGGCGTAAAACTCCATAGCATTGACTTGTTTAAAATAAGCCTATTTCTAACTTTCAAACAACATTCTCAAGCTCTATTAGTTTTTCTTTAAAAAAAAAAGGAAAGCAAACAGAAAGATTCTTTTTATTAAAAGATAAATGCACACAACACGTTGAACTGAGCTGATCTCATTTGTATTATAAAATCTCTATTGGTTCTATTCAGAAGAGCAGCATAAAAGTAAGTTAAGTTATAAAATAAATTAAGCATATGAGGTAGCCTTCCTAGAAGAAAATTAGGTATTCTGAGTAAAGTAAAATAAAAAATGTATGGAAATCAAATGACAATAAAAATGTTAATCAAAGGCATATTATTCTGTATTTCTTAATTGTAAGTCTGGTTATTAAAGCCCATTAATAAAGAAAATAAGTTGATATCTATATTACATGTAAATGGTCAAAAGGAAGCTGCTAAGGCCTTATTTCCTTAATTTCAAAGGTAATAAAGTAGACTGAAAACTGCTGAACCATGGGTCAGGAGCATTGGAATTTATTCCCATTATATGTGGGTCTCAGTTTCTCAATCTGTAAAATGGGTGAACCATCCTGCCTAACTCATAGCAGTGTTTGGAAGAGAAGATGAGGATGAATTTACACCATACGCAGATCAGTTTTGGCCATGTTCACAACTTCATTGAATGTCATGGGAGTTCTAAAGATTTACTGATCCAGTTTTATCAAACAAAGCACAGATGAGGTTGTGAATAACTCAGTCATTTGAAGAAGCTTAGCTAAGAGTCACATAAAATGCTTTTCATTAACTATACTGCCTGGGAACTCTAGTTTGGCAAGAGAAATCTAAAAATGAGGTGGATTTTCACGTGAACTGATGAACATTGCTCTGTATGGCCCCAGGCTGTGTCCTTAACTCTAGTTCACAGAAGCATCTGCTTAGAGATGCAGACAGTAGAGCAAGGATAGATCAAAGTGGTGTCCTGTACGTGGGTGCCAGTGACGTCATCGTCTTATGCAAAGGACACACACACTCAGCAGACCCAGTTGCAAAGTTTAGAATTACTAACTCTGGAACAGAAAATATCCAAATGAGTGAGGAATTAACTTTTTACTATTAGAAATGTTGGAAATGTTATATTAGAAATGTTGGAAAACCATGACCAAAGTGTAGAACATGATTCCGTGCTTACATAAATTCATAGTTGGCAAAAATATATCCCCCCTTGCTACAAATCTACTAGGATTTTTTGAGATTCAATTAAAGAAATATTTTCCAAAATATGTTCCTTAGTGCACTAGTTCTAAGCAAAATTAATAGGTGTACAAAATAAAACGTTTTAGAAATGTTGGTTTAATCACCTTTAAATAGGCTTCTGTAAAAGATGCTGTCTCAGAGTTTTTTATTATATGTCAATATCAAAGAAGATGCATTATGCAGCATTGCTCAAACACATAGGAACACAGAAAGCTGTTTTCTCAATTGAGCTAGCATTCTAAAAATAATTCATTGTAGGGAATGCTAAATTAAAGGATTTTTTTTTTAATTTTTTGTTTATTGCAGTAACATTGGTTTATAACATTGTATAAATTTCAGGTGTACATCATTATACTTCTATTTCTGCATAGATTACATCACGTTCACCACCCAAATACTAATTACAACCCATCACCACACTAAATTAAAGGATTTTTAAAACCTGTATGATACAGGCAAACCACCTGTCTGAAATGACCAATGAACTGTTATCCCCAACACACTTTCTAGAGCCGTTTTGTTGGCAAGGCAGACACCTGCCATAGAGTTCTAGATGTGAAATAATATTTGCTGAAATGTAACTCCAGAGTTTTGTACTTTTTTGAAAAATTGATAGCAATCGGATACCTGAATACTTAATTGTCTACTTAAGGACACAAGGACTATGAGGAGCAGAGTTGGCTAAAGTATTTGTTTAAAGGTTATACAAGCACATTATGGGCGTGGTGAAATTAATATCTGTAATGAGTTCAGAATTATCAACAGCTAAGAGGCATGTAAGACTTATGATTGGAAACGGAAGACTTCCTTCTTGTATCCTTTTATTCAGCCATTGAACAATTACTTACTGAGTATCAGGCATTGCTTGGTGTGTTGGAAGATGCAGGGATTTGGAAAACTTGGCCTATGATGCCTTTAAGGGGATGATAGTCTGGACAATTTTAATAGAAGAGTGATGAATGCTGTGAGAGCACAGAGGACAGGGCACAGGAATCTCTGATAATTTTCAACTATAAAGCATAATTACTAATATCCCCAGGCCCTTCAAACAATTGCTCTCGGTCGAAGTTACAAGGTTGTTTTTATATAGATATGAATTGCACTCAGTGGTTGTTAGTAGCAATGCATGGATTGCAGACAACAATTTGGTTTGTTTGATTTGAGGTTGTTTCACTAAGGCCGTCTCTATTTTTAGCAAAAGGATACAGTAGGACAGTGCTTAGTTTAGGATGGAGATGCATTTATTCTAAAGTTGCTTTGTTGCTATAATTCTCCATGAATATTAAAAGACAACAACAACTGATGAGCTAATATCCATTCAGATATTTCTCTGGATTCAGAATCATTGTACCTGTTGCATACTGAAAGTACTAAGATACACAAAACATAGTAATTTAGGCTTTGCATATTTATGCATGGCCTTAATATTTGAATTCAGCAAATTTAGAAGAATAAAGAATCAGAGGCTTGTGATTTTCCTTAAAAATCGTTCCTCTAAACCTTTATGAATTGAGAAAACTTGTCTTCATTAGATGATTCTGGTTTTGAAGTTTTGTGAGGCTGTTCAAGTTTAAAAACTCAGAAGTATAGTTGATTCCATAGAAAATTCCATTCTCAGACAGCAGAACTTTGCATTTGCAGAGGGAATGTGTATTAGAAATAGGAATATGGGTCATACTTTATGTTCATGTAGGTGAGCATGTATTTTTTCTAGGGATCCCTTTCTTCATTGCAAAAATACGTGTTATCACCAATGCCTATCTTACTGAATACTACAACTTAGTGAAAAATGATTTGACTGTTTCATTGTTCATCCGGATGAAGAAAATTTGGAGAGGTAAAGGAGTTGAAAAGGAAATATGGGCAGTGAGAATGGAACGGGGGAAGAGAACAAAGGAGACTTCAACATTATCTGCAGCACTCTATTGCTTTTATATATTAAAAATGAGGTGAAAATAACAAAATGATAACATTTGCCCATTCTGAATCTTGTTACATAAATATTTCTTGCATTATTCCTCTATTTCTCTATTTTCTTAGTTCGAAAAGAAATTATTACTAACAATATGATGATTCATTCATTCAACAAATAATTTGTTGAGGGCCTACAGTGTGATAGGTGCTAGCAATAAAATGGAGAAGAAAAAAAAACAGACATCACCCCTGCCCTCATCGAGTTTATGTTTCAGATGAAAAAGTGAAATGTTTGAGATCTGATAAAGAATGTTTAAAATGACAAAGTAAGGGAATGGGGGTGAATTGACTTGTACTGATACCGTGGAGGTGGGCTGCTGTTGGTATTGAATCAGTAAGCAAAGGTCATTCCATGCTGTTAGGAACTGTCTTATTTTTGGTCAAAATAGAGTTTAACTTGAATCGTGCACCGGCCGTGGGCCACAGACCTAAAGCAGTCTCTTGTGATAGCTACTTTTCTCGCTGGTTGCAATTCCAAGTTCACCTGCATTTTTCTTTGATTCCCTCTAGTATATGACTGCTGCCGCTCCTATGCAAGGGACCTACATTCCCCAGTACACGCCTGTGCCTCCGACAGCTGTTTCTATTGAAGTAAGTCTGTCTCTGTCTTATAGAAAGAAGTTAAGGGAGATAAACCTCAGCCACATATACCGTGGCCTCTCAGAACCCAAGGAACCCTTATGTGTAATTTTTGTGCTGCTCTGAAATTGCAAGATTAGTATATGAAAATATATACCTTTACTTGAACATGCCCATGTTTTGCTTTGCACATGAAATAAGCTAATTTGCTCTAGAGGTATGAAAGAAGTATCCTTTTCATATTTAGAGAAAAGATCAGAGACCAAATCACTACCCCATCAATGTTGACCACAAATACTCACAAATAGGGAGGAGAAAAAAAAGTTTGCAACTACTACTTGAATGAGCTAGTTCTCTAGTGCCTTGTTACTTAAAGCGCAGTCCCCGGACCACCATCTTCAGCATCCTGTGGGAGCGTGTCAGAAATGCAAACTATTAGACACCACCCAGACCTACTGAGTTAGAATCTGCATTTTAACATTTTAACCTCAGGGAGCGGGGTGCACATTAAAATTTGAGAGGCACTGGACTAGTGCACTGGTTCTTGAACTTTTCTGCATATGGAAATCATTTCAAGAGCTTTCAAAAATAGTGCTGCCTGGATCCTGTCTGATTTAGTCTGGGATATGGACTAGACGTCAGGATTTTTAAAAGATGTCAGGTGATTCTAATACGTACCAAAGAATAAGAACCCTGCTTTAGTGAAGGTACCTTGGCAGGTTTGTGGCATCCTGCAGACAAGAAAGAAAACGTTGTACCACTCTTATTGCTGTGGACACCATGAATGATGAAGTCATCTTATCCTTAATGGAAGCTTTGTCCCTTTCCTTCTCTCTTTCCATTGGACTGAATCCATCTCCTCTACACATCATTTTACTGGACAGAGCCAGCAAGCTACACAGAAAAGGAGGGGGCATAGAGCTATGCAGATGGTGGTAAAATACTTAGATATGTATACTCCTCTCTGGTAACAGCCATTATTGTTTCTTGCCCCTCCTCCCCTTCTTCTGATGACATTTGCCATTATGGTCACAGTGCTTTCCTTCCCATCAGCTAGTACTCCTCTGGAGTTTGTGCCATTGCTACTTCATGAGTTGGTCAGCAGCCAGTGTGTTGGCACCACTCCACGTGGAAGTCCACCATGACTCTCCCAACCTCTGGAGCTAAAGAGACTGGGGGAGATCTTTACAGACTAACTTGGACCTTTTAAAATATTTATGTGCTTGTTTTTGATGTGTGACAAATGTGTGCTAGTACCAAGGTCTGGGAAACAGAAGTTTAAGAAGACATTATCATATAATTTAGGAAACCAAGGAGGTCCAATTATTGAATCTTCTATGTGTTCCAGACCTGTGGGCCAAAAGAATGTGTCACTGTTAAATAGGTTTTAATTGGCTTTTCATAATTTCAAGAATATGTGATTAAAATACATATTCTTTGCTATATTTAGCTATCAAAAAGCATATAGGCCATCAGAAAATTATGAATCTGGACATTCTAAGCGCTTTAAGCATAAATCTCTGCCACAAATTTGCATTCCTCTATCTCTACACCAAAGGTGTTCGCTTATCTGCAGAATTGGAACATTTTGATGACTATAAAATAATGAGCACATTTGACAGTGTGGCTTATTTGAAGCAGTCTAATTATAGTTAAATCAGAGATTTAAAAAGAAGTCTTTTACTAGGAAAAACGTTAAGTACACTCTGATATATTGCCTTGAATTTGTGCTTATAAGGAAAAGCACTGATTCATTTTCTATGTAAAAACACTCTGAAAATTTACCAGTATCCACACAAGTAAATGCTGGTGAGAGGTTCAGGAAAATGCAAAATATCAAATAGTATATTAGGAAAAAAAAGACTGAATTAGTATGGGGAGAATTTTCAGATTCTAAGGAACAATTTCAGGGATCTTTAATTAGGGACGGAAAGTTGACCAAAAACATTTGAAACCTGACATAACTGCAGACATCCAAGTCTATAAGTAAAACTGGAGACTGTATTCAGATAGATGCCTCCTTAGGCCTACTAACTATCAAATAAAACCATCTATGCCTCTTTTGGAATCAAACATATGTCCCTAATTATGACCAACTGCAGAAATCCATTCTTGTGGATTTGGATGGGGGGAGGAGCAAATCAAAATTAAGGATGTTTGTTTCTTTTTCTGAAACTTCGAAATGAATTCCAATTCATGTTGTTGAAAACAAAACAAAACAAATCACATGCTGAAGGGAAAACCTGTTTAACAGTATCCTTTTAAAAGAATTCCAAACTTAGATGTAGACTTTTAAGGGCAGAATTCATTGTTTTGCCAAATCATATAGACATGGTACAGTGCACTACCCTGGGAAGATGGTTGGATATACAAGTTTTTATAGGAATCCTTCATGAATTTTTTTATTAATAAATTACTATTTAGCATGGCTGTATGCAACTATGGTTTAAAAGTTCTAAGTATGGGCAAAATGATTTTCCGACCACTTGGCTGCTCCAAGGACTTCTGATGGCAAGGCTTCTTGGTTGCATGTTGAGGTGAATTCCTCAGCCCTTATCCAAATGTGCTCTTTGGTTTTCCTTTGAGTACTTATTGTGGCTTTATGTAGGAGAGCACAACTTGATTCAAGCCAAACAGGAGAGAGGTGTTCTCTACAGTCCATCTGGAAGAGGGCCCTTTGCTGAAGCGAATAAGGCTTTTGTGTTCTTATTTGCCTCCTTAGGGTGTTGTTGCTGATACCTCTCCCCAGACAGTGGCACCTTCATCCCAGGACACCAGTGGTCAGCAGCAACAGATAGCAGTGGACACGTCCAATGAACATGCACCTGCATATTCTTACCAACAGTCCAAGTAAGTCCGGGCTACACTAAGCTCTTTCCCTCAAGATCAGCCGTCCTGACATCACTCTCATGTTGTGTCTGTTAGCTTTTGCTGCGGTACAGACCACCTCAAATTTAGTGACAGGCATTTATTCAGTTCATGATTATGTGGGTTGGCAATTTGGGTTGACCTCAGGTGGAGTTTCTTCTGGTCTTGACTGGATTTGCTCAAGCATCTGGGGACAGCTGCTCATCGTTTTTGCAGGTATGCTTCTAGATGTTGCTTGGCTGTTGGTTGAGTGATGGAAGCGATTGTGCCATGTGTTTCTGATCCTCCAGCAGGCTTATTCACATGGAAGTCTCAGAATTTGGAGAACAATAAGAGAGGAAGCCCAAATGACCAACATTTTTCAATTCTGTTTGTGACTCATTTTGTTACTGTCCCATTGGGCAATGCAAGTCACATGGCCAACCCCAGAGTTAATGTTGCAGTTCACTACCAAAAGGCTTGAATACAGAGAGGGGCTTTGCAGACATTTTTATTAAAAAAACCTACCATACATATTTTTGAAAAAACTCCAGTGTTCCCACTTGAAGCTGGGTAGTGAGCCTGCATCTTGATCTGTTTCCGTATTCATAAATGAAGACAGTAGCACTCCTCTTGCAGGGTTGCTTTGAATACCCAGTAAAATAATTTATAGAAAAAGGTATTGTAAAATATAAAACATAGAGTAGGGTCTTATTCAGGAATAAATGGCAAAGCAAAAATCAGGTGGGTAAAATTACTCTTGCAAATCCTTAGATTACTTAGAAACAAAAGTAGAGTTGGCTTTGTATTGAGTACTTTTGTAGACTGAAACTTGAGAAGTTTGGGTTGAAACCAAAAGGAATTAACAAAAGTTCAGTACATAGACAGATGTCTTGTCATGCAAACTATTCTACTTTGTAGATAACAATCAAAGCTCTGGTGAAGAGAGAATTCCCAAATGACCCTTCCAGTCTGCATAGTGTTGCTCCATCTCTTGATCGTCATTCCTCTTTAACCTTGATACACGTTTAGAGATTTGTCTGTTCTTTAAAGATTCATCACAGTAACGGAATCTTCTATATGTGGTTTAGCTTCTAAAGTCAGTCCTGCAAATTAAATGTACTCAGAACATGACTTCACCTTACAAATATAAGGTATTTGATTATTTTCATTATCATTATTACTATCGCATAATAACGTTCAGGAAAGATCCACAGTGAATAAAGCATTTTTTTAAGTTCACCTATAGCCTGTGTGAATCACTTTTGCACACATCAAGGCACACCAAGCAATATGGTAGTCTCTGGCACTCTGTTCCAAGCTTATTGGAATTTCTTTCAGTCTGCTCAGCAGATTACATGTGAGAAAGGAGCAGAGACTGGCTATGTGGAAGCACCATGAGCAACACTGGGGAGAGATAAGAGATACTGTTTGCCAAAAACAATTTTCAAGGCTTAGTGAGGAGGTGAAACTGGCTTTGGCTATTTCACAGCATAATGAGGAGATGAGTGATCCCAGATCCTTCTTGCTAACGGTTTAATGACGTCTGGATAAATGAAAAAGATGCTTTCACACATTCACTCAACAATTACTGACTGAGTGCCTGCTATGTGACAGGCAGCATTCTAGATGCTAGAGAAAGACCAATGAAAGAGGCAGATGCCTCCTCCACTCTCTTGCAGTTTACTTTCTACTAGGAGTAGACTCACAATCAATGGATCAATCAACAAATAATCAAAGAGAAACAGAATTGCAAAGCAGATTATTTCAAAAGATTCTTGTGATAGAAAGTGACTGGGTAAATACCTAAGATTTGGTATCATGGAAGGCGTCTCATGTAGGCCTGGATCTGAAAGATGATTGGAGCTAATCTTGGAGAGATTTGGAGAAAAAACACCCTAGGCAGAGGAAACAGAAATTCACAGCTCTGGAGGAGGTACCAGAGGCTGGAATTTGGTGACCTAAGGGAGAGCGTTGTAGGAGATGAGGTCAAACAGGCTAGCTTTTATAGAGCCTTTGGTCCTTAGATACTTGGCTTTGTGTAATTATTCTCGGTTTTATGGTAAGTGAGCTAGAAAACCTTTGGAGGGCTTAAAGAGAATAATGACAGGATTTTATTTACATTTCGATGACTCTGTTACCAATGGAGGCAGGTTTAGAGGGATGTGTTTCAAGGATGGCTTTCAGTATGTGAAATTTCCCCTTCTTGCAATAGGCCAGAAGCTCCTCTTCTCCCTACTTGATTAAATCAGCTTTAGCTGCCCCTACTTGTCGCCCACCATGAGATACTCTCTTCTTTCTCAGGGTTGTCCCCACCTCTCCATGGTCATTATATGATGTGGTGGGGAGAGGAGTGCTCTGCTTGATCTAGAGAGAGCATCTCTGCCTCTCATGGATTCCAGTGAGAGTCTGCCAATTTACGTCCACACCTAGACCCAGTTTCACTTGTAGTACCTAGCATCATCCAGGTACTATGCCAGGAGACAAGATTCCTGCCTTCCAGGGTTTACAATCTGGTATGGAATTTAGACCTACACATAGACAAGATTTGTATACTGCAAGGAAAATAATGAACCAAGCTTTTTAAAAAAGTCCTGTAGTAATAGGAGAATCTAATTTTTTTTGTCTGGGTAAGCTTTGATGGAGGTTGTGATAACTGGAACTGGGTCTTAGAGGGAGGAGAAATGTTCCAGGTGGTTGTTAACATCTTGACCAAAGTCCAGGGGTGGGAAAGCTCAGAGTGTTTCTTTGAGAAGTGAATGCAGAAGTAAAAGAGTGTGAAAAGACAGATAGAACCCAGATGCTAATGTCAGGTACCATACTCTGGTGGTTGGACAGCATTTCCTTTGTTCTTCCAATGCTGTTCCAGCTGAAGTAGACAATGGATTTGGAAGCAATGGAAACAGACAGTCCTGTTATTGCAATGATTTAGACAAAAGAGAACAAAGGTCTGGAGTCAGATGGTAGCAAGTGTAATGGTGTGTGTAGCAGACGGGGGAGACTGAAGCAAGAGAAAAAGGGAAACAGGACTTAAAAATTCCAAGCAAAATGATGGAGTTATTGATGCCACTGACAGAGGCAGATGAGATAAAAGCCCAGGAGGGCCTGATTTGTGGAGACAGACAAGGAATTTAATTATCCTTATAATGAGTCAATTCAAAGAAGCTTTATTCCTTGAAATATTTGAGGAAGTCTGAGTCTAACCACATAAAACTTGAAGTGTTTATATATGCTTAAAACTATGGTTATACCATAGTTATGTGCCTTGAGCAATTGATTCTTAGGGTTGATAATGCTGAGATTTCCACAGATAATAAATATCAAGGAAAGAAATCCTCCATCCCATGTCCTCATCATGGTAAAAATTATGGTAAGGGATTTACTCATTTGAAGGAATTTTCTTTTGCATTCATGCAGGAATATATGTTACAGGATGTTCCCCAGGGCGTGCTCGTTGCTGCAACATACTAGAGAGGAAAGCACCCTGGAACATGGCACATTTCAAATGTGTGACATGTGAAAACCACTTACATTGCCTTGCGGACATTTCTTTAAACCTGGAGAAAATTTTTAACAGGTCCTGTTTATATTCTCAACTTCCTCTCTTTAACATGCTGCAAAGTACTAGGAGTTTTTGACTTGAAACAAAAGCAACAATAAAATATTGAATGAAAACAAAAACAACACCCTGAGTCAAATCAATTGATGGATGACAAGCACTTCTGAAATTTTATAAAAGGAATAAATTGTGACTCTCTCCAAGTTTTTAGCAATTTCGGGCAAGAGAAGCTGACCTATGTCATGGTGAGACGTGAGATTCTTTAGAAACATTTAAGGAAGACACTGGGAATTGAGCCAAGCATTTGGGTCCTGTAAACACCTGGGTTCTTTTTCTTATACAACCATCCCTGGAGAAAATTTAAGAGATGGAAAAGCAACCACAGAGATATTTATTAAAGAAGCATTAATTAGAAAGCAGGCACAAAACGATTTATACAGCTTGCTCTGCACACTTGGCAAAGTCCCAGCTCTGTTCTTTTAAATAATCTGACCACACTTTACATAAAAAATCAACTCAGGTTAGATTTGACCATTTTCTAGAGGTAGGACTATGTTATCCTTATAGAGGCCACCAGAAATCTACTCTGTGACAGTCTTGTTTTGAAATCAAGCCACAAGCCCTATCTCTAAAGTTATAGGCCACAAATTCCCCTACCTTCTTATTGTATCTTTCCTGTTCATGTAGAGTGGAGAATATCTCTAAAATATTTTAGACAATCCATGTTATCTTAAATACTCCAAATTTCACAAATGGCAGCTCATTTCTAACATCATTATGCTAATTAACATGCCACTTCTTTCATCAGGCAACCCATTTCTAACAATCATTATGCTAATTGAGATATGGATAGTTTAAAGTACTTGTCTAAACCTCTGGCCTTTCTCATTAAATGATAGCTGACCTCCTGTGTGCTGTGAAATTCTGATTAGGGTAGCTGTGTGCCCCTGAAAAGTAGCTTAACCCATTGCACAGATATTTAACACTATAATGTCTATACTAAAGTATTTTAAAGTAAATTACAGACATAACAGCAGAAGGTTGTAGGATAAAAGTTTGAGAAATATAAATGGTGTGCATATGAATAAAAAGGTTATATTTGGGATCTATGTCAGCAAATAACTTAATATTTCAAATTTAACTTTCCAAGCTAAAAAGCAAGTCTTCATATTTTGTATTCATGCCTTTTTTCCCATTGTTAAAAGAGGCTATTAATGCAAGAGAGACTGGACTTTTATCCCAAAGGAAGGAAATGAGGCCTGTGGTTTATTTTGGAAATTCTATGGAAATTCCAATTCCTGCACAAGTTTTATCAGTTTTTCTTTGTACTATTTAGGAAATCTTAAAAATAACTAGGATTTGAAAAGCATGGGTCTTCCAGCAAAGTTAAATTCTAATATGCAAAATCAGAAGTCCTTGGTTCAGATTCCCCCTTTGCCACTTACTAGCCATCACTCAACCCTTTGGAGCGTCCTTTTCCTCTTCAGTGTTCTCTGAAGAGTATAAATTAGGTCTCTAGTGCTGGGGGAGGATTTACTACCATTCCCTGGAGTTGGGGTAGCGTGGAGTGGTCAAAAGCGGTGTTGGGAAACATTGCTTTAACCTAAGTGAAATGCTTCCTTTAATTGCAGTTCCCTTCAAAGCCATTAAAATGCTAATGACCATGACCTCCCAGAGGGCTCAACAAATACTTCAAATATTTTACTTCCTGAGAGATTAGAGTGTGTGCTGCCCTCCTCCTTTGGAATTCTCAGAGATTTTATTTAACATATTAAATTATTAAAGAATGCTAATAAAATTTTGATTGACAACATGATGATTATTTTTCTGCTAATTTAAAAGATTACATTCTTTCTAAAGCATTTCTTTTGTATTGATACCTTCCTTTGTGGGTGCCCTAACCATGTGTTTAGTTTACCTATGGGTAATCCAATATTGGGTGGATTGTGTGCAGTTTTTCCTAAACTCTGGACCACAGAATCCCTCTTTTCACATGACATCATATGAAGCTAATCTGTCAGGATTGCCATGGGGGAATATTGCATCATTAGATGATCTTTAAGCCTTCTTCCAGCTCAAATAGTCTAGATGTCTAAGATTATGTTTTGCTACTTCCTTATCTATTTACTCCGCTTTTTTTTTTTTGGTGGGAAGATGGAGGATGAGACGGTTCAAAATGACTCTGTGATAGTAAATCCAGGCAAACTCCTAGTCTTCCAATATTCACACTGACCTTAGAAGGCCTTTATCTCAACCCCAGTATTGCCAAGTCTTTTTATTCTTCAGGTCTTCTCTGGCTAACTGAACTGTCGTGAACACCAATTCCCTATACGTTGTCAATATATTAATGATGTGCAAATTATACCCTTGATTACTGTCCTTACCTGTCCTTTAAGTTTCTGAGTAATAATTCATTCTATCTGCATAGTTTACAAATGATTTTCATACTCGTTATCTTATTCACATGAATAGTTTTATTTTTTTATTTTTAAAAGTCTTTTATTTTTAATTTTATTTATTTTTCCCCCAAAGCCCCAGTAGATAGTTGTATATCATAGTTGCACATCCTTCTAGTTGCTGTATGTGGGACGCGGCCTCAGCATGGCCAGAGAAGCGGTGCGTCAGTGCGCGCCCGGGATCCGAACCCGGCCACCAGCAGCAGAGCGCGCGCACTTAACTGCGAAGCCACGGGGCCGGCCCTGAATACCTCTTTTTAAGCTGCAATCCATATTATTTCTCAACTAGTCTCACTATCCAACTTAAAATATTCTTATTGCTAATGATCACAGCCTTGAAAATTTAGAAGCCTTCTATTTTTTGTTGAGTATCAGTGCAATCCATAGCATTATGTCAACATGCACTTTCACACTTCATCTAGGATGGAGAAAGGGGACAGGAGTGAATTTACTTCTATTAAACAGCAATGCCTTGTCTCTTTGAACTTCAGCTAGCAACCATGAAAACGTAAAGTACCACCGTTTATTTCTCCTCATTTGTTTTCAAGTAGCAATGAGACCGCTTGAAGGATCGTGCCAGTGATGGGAGAGGGCTCTTGGAAACATTTGTGTAAGGCAGTGAAACTTGAAAGTAGCTCTAGCCTAGCTCATAAATAACGATGCTTCGAGACCAGTGCACATGACATACCTGAGCAGTGAGGGTGTTTTATGTCACTGTAGTCCGTTGAGTAAGACACCGTTCATTTAGCAGCTCCTATAGAGATTCATGGTGTTTTAGGCATTTTCTGCTCAATGTACAATGATACCAGAGTGGAAGATGAAAGTGGGAGCAAAGAATAGACCAAAAAACAAACAAAAACACCAAATCAAGAAAAAAAGTTTTGTTCCCATAGCAAGATAAATTTTTAGAAATAAATGGAGTAAGTCTATACTTTGAAAGATATAGAGAAAGATCAAATATATACTATGGTTCCCATGACTATTACTAATAAAATTTCCATTATCGTTGCTGTTATTAAGAAAATTTTAATTGCATTTCTTCTTAAAAGAAATCCCACTTTCTTGCATAACACAGGAAAATAACGTATTTCTAGATACTTAAACTATTGATTAAAAATGGAAATATTCAATCTATCAACTGGTTGCTTTCTTTACATGATTCTATGAACAAGTTAATCAGATTTCTAAGAGCCATAGCTGACTTATATGAAGGCTTTTTGCAAATTAGGAAAAGGAACCCCAGTGGGTCATCCCAGGCTAACTGTCATACAGTTCAAAACATTGTTGAGGGCTTTTTGTGAATTTGAATTAGGCCCACTGGCTCTTGGAAAATGCAGCCCTGCACCAGAGTGTTGCAGCTTGGACAACAGACTGTGACCTGGAACTTAGCCCCATGCACTTCCTCAGCCATGCATCCTGTACAGTGAACAACCTGTACAACTGTACTCGCAGCCCTGAGGTTTCTTTACTAAATTAAGCAACTGGGCATCAGAAGAACCTGCAGAGCACTAAAGGAAGAGGCCTTCATCTAAATATGACCTACGATAGTTTAAAGGTTCTTCTTTTTAAAGCACACCCCTAAAATTATTTAGCAAAATTGTAATCTGTGGGTAGAAGAGCTAAGAGTAAAGGGCAACCCACTAGAAACTCACCCTGAAATACAGATGGGGCAGCAACAGAAGACATTATTTGGGCTAGACTAAGCAAAGTGGCATATAATAAAGATGACACTTATTGGGGCCGGCCCAGTGGCACAAGTGGTTAAGTGCTCGCGCTCCATTGTGGCGGCCCAGGGTTCGCAGGTTCGGATCCCGGGCGAGCACCAACGCACCGCTTGTCAAGCCATGCTGTGGCGGCGTCGCATATAAAGTAGAGGAAGATGGGCACGGATGTTAGCTCAGGGCCAATCTTTCTCAAGAAAAAAGGGGAGGATTGGCACCAGATGTTAGCTCAGGGCTAGTCCTCCTCACAAAAAAAAAAAAAAAAAAGATGGCACTTGTCCAGTTAAACACCTTTTATGTGCATACTACTGTCAGACTCCTGGAAAGTAAAAAGTAGAAGTAAAATATAGTCCCTACTCTCAAGAATTTAAAATCTTGATGAGATGGATGAGCAAAGAAGAGAAGGAAAAGAGGGAAAGTGAACAAGACTTCATTGCCCTCTTAACTGTCTGTCTTAATTACTGGGCCAACAAGGCTTGTGTGAATATACTTGGTGAATACCACAAGGTAACATACAATCCATGGCTATGTCTTGGGTGTGTAGGAGAGATTCACATATTTGTTGACTGAGTTAATGATGAATTCCATGGGAGGGGGGACAGAATTACTCAAAGAATTTCTCGGGGAGCTACAACTGAAGCCAGGCAATGAAAATAGATTCCATGCACATAGACAATGTTGCTTGTCTGGGTATAGTTGTAATATTTATTACTTTAGAATTGAAATATATTCTTGATCTATTAGCCTTGATACTTATGTGAACAAACTTTCTCGCTCGAGTATATATATTTGTGTGAAAGTGGCAGAATTTGACACTTTCATAGGCCTAATATAATTTTACAACTTCGTTGATGATTGTTATGTTCAAAGAACTTCAGATCTTTCAAAGAGACCACACCGGAAAAGAGCACAAAAGGTAATTTCAAAGTTGCTCTGATGTAATGACCACTCATATTCAATTGTTTTCACAGACCATAAACAAGACTGAAGAATGTCTGTCTGAAACTTTGCCTTGAATGAAGACACTTCATTGAACAAGAAGTTGGCTTCCAGTTTGCACAGGCGTCAGTGGAATGCTTTTTTTTTTTTTTTTAATTTTCTACTTTACCCAATGAAAACAAAGTGTTTTTCTGTGCTGTGCAAATGGTTCCTTCATGTGGTGTGACAGTTTATTTTTGCCATCATTTTTTTTTAATTAAAGAAAAAAACCCAGAAGAGGAAAAAAAAAAAAAACCCAACAACAATGAAACAAATCATGGAAGGTTGACATTTTATCTAGAAGAACTTTGGAATTCAGAATTTATCTGAAGGTGTAGATAGATTTTTTTTTTTAACGGAAAGTCTGATGTCAAGAAGTGGGCAAGCAGAAATGGAAACAAATTGTCTTCCTCAGTAATTAAGCTACTCTTTCTTTTTCCCTTTCAATCTAGCGGGTTGGTTTTTTTTATTTTATTTTTTTCTTAGAAATATTTAGGTAAGGTTTATCTTGAATCTTAATTGCCTTAATTTTAAGGACGTCAAAGGCTCTCGAGGCAAGCTGTCAACGTCTTGTTTAAAAAAAAATCAAGAAAGAATTGAAATATTGTGCCGGCTTTAACTGGTGCAGAAGTTTAAGACTATGAGTTTTTAGGGTGAAAAAAAACTGTACAGTTTAAAAGAAAATGTTTTTCTTCATTTGAAGAAAATTTGTTGATAAAAGAAACCATGGCAACTGCAAGAATTGGGAAAATGCTGGGACTTTTCATGAACTTTGTCTTAAGTGTTGAATCATTCTAGAAAGCTAAAACATTTTACGGTAAAGTTATTAACGTTGGTTTAAAAACAACTGCATTAGAAATAATGCGTGTTTGGGGGGCAGAATGCAGATTTTTTTAATTTACAAAGCGTGATTGCTAGCAAAAGCGTTAGTGCTTTTTATCTGCAGTCTTTTTTATGAGCTTTACAAAGTTTTTAGTCAGCTTTGCTTGTCACATTGCAAAACCTAGCTTAAGAGCATTAAAAAAAACTTAAGTAGATAGGAGCTTATGGTCAAAAAGTGCAAAAAAAAAAATAACAAAAAAAGCAATAGATAGAGAAATTGTTGACAATTTCTGTAGTCTTTCCTAGTTGTGATCAAATTCAGCCTATGGATGGCCTATTTTATACCAAAGATGAAGTGGCACCCTATTGCAGTCCAGAAGATAGAGATTGTTTTCTTTTCTTCTCTTTTCTTTTAAAAATTTTATTTGACCTACATGGCCGGACCAGTTCTTACTTTGTTGTTTGTTTAAACTACCTTCCACTGGTGTTTCACATACTGCAAAAAAAAATTTTTTTTAATGTGTATTTGTTGATGGTAGAAGCTTGTGCCTGCTATGTTCAGCAGTTTCAGCACAAAGAGTTCTGGATACCAACTGATAGAGCCAAATGGTTTAAATTCCATGGGCTTTTCTGGTTCCTTGCTAGCTCTCTTGAATAGTGAAACCTGTATTGATGGCCACCAATAAGCTATGACACTTGTTTAACATGTTGGAATTTCTTTATGTGAATTTTGAACTAAAGACACTTCCTAGAACCTGGCCTAAAAGGTCACTTGTCAAAAAAAGCTTAGTGATAGTCTAAATGGTGAGTGGTCTCCTGAAAAGGTCTCATCATATTTGTAACAATAGTCTTCCTTCTAAATTCTGACAGCTCTTGGTTTTGCCTTCTCACCTCAGTCTTTGTCATCATCCACCATGAATAGCTACCTTGATTCTGCAATGGGGGAGGAAATATCTTCTTTTTGCTTCTTTTCTTTGTATTTTCATACCCTGGTATTGTCAGAAGAAAGAAAAAGAGACCTTTTTATTTCAGTTTAACTCTGAGGCAAGTAGGACCAAAAACATTGAGGATTCTATTGGTGGAATTTAGGTAAGCTTTTAAAATGCTAGTTGACAATCAAGAAATTGTATGATTTATATAAATAAGAACCAAAAGAATTAGGTTTGATCAATCATGAAAGCCAAAGGAGATATATTTGCATTGAGAATGATGCAAAACTTTGTCTAAAATTAATTAAATTGACTTAACAAACATCTTTGCATATTTGATTCATGAAATCCATGTTCAACCTGTACAGTTTTGCCTGAAATTAAGGACAATGGAATTTTGTTCATTGAACCATTCACTAGAATTTCTTTCTGAATGAATCATTAGAATCAAATAGGTGGAACTCGTTTCGCTAAGTCATAGGAACCTGTCTTAGTCCAGAAGGAAGAGGGAAATGCAATAAGTGCACTGTAAAAGGAAACAGGGTAGGCTTCTAAAAACTAAATAAAATTTAAAAAATAAATCATATTCCCATTAGGTCAACATGAGTAATGAGTTTGACTCATATGAAATTGTCAATATTCCGCTATTTATGACCTATAAACAAAGGCCTAGTGTTGAAAGAGACCCAGTTCTCTTATTTGCAACCCCATGAATTGGAAGCTCAGATCTAGAGAGTGACTCCATAGCTTTGTGGTCTAATTAGAGTCAAAGTGTATCCAAGAAAATTTAACATGTGCTGCAGAGAAATTCCAACTGGTCACACCCACACTCATGGTTTTCCATGCTTTAGAGAGAATCCTAGATTTGTACTTTCTTCTGTTCCATCCTTCAGTTTCTCATGTATTTTAAGGGTGGCACTTAAGTTTTATCCTTGAGAAGTGAGCCACCAAGTTACAAAGGGTCTAAGCAACCATGGATGGGAACTGTGTCTTCTGTTTCTCTTTTTCACTCTCTGAATTCTTTGCATAAATAAGGATTATCCTGGGCATAATTCATTTGAATATGAAACCAACATGCTTTCCTTTGTTTCTGTAAAAAAAAAAAAACAATGTGATACAAAGAAAGTCTCATTTACGCAATCAACAATGAGGCTAAGAGGTAGCTACCATGTGGCTGATGAACGTGCCTAGGTAACTTCCTGTTTCTATTCAAAACTACCACTTTATTTGTACATTCAGAAACATTTTTTTTCAACTGTGAAATTTCAGTGATCTCAATTTTTTTAAGCCACTTCAGGCAAAAGGAAATTACCTGTCATTTTATGTATCCACGTGTGTTTTGTGTTTGGATTTTTTATATCGTGCCATTCTATAAAATATCTTATTTCAAACCAAAAAGAAAAAGAAGGAAAAAATTGCACATGTTCAAATTTGCATCTGTCTTCTTACCTAAAGATTGTTTTTTAAGAGTCAAGTCTGGGAGAAAAAAAGCATTAACAGGTAAGCAGCATTACATTGTATGAAAAATGAAACAAACCAAAATGTGTGTTCAATATATGCAGACATCGGAATCCTAATTTTATCAACAATATATATTATGGTGATTTGAATCCCATTTAGGACTATAATAATTATTTTAAAGTATTCTGGTTCACCAGATTTTCAAGCATTTATTCAGATGTTTCAATTTTTCCTTTCAACTTTAATTGCCAAGACTTAGCCTAAATATCAGGAAACAAACTAAAGCCACAATCCAAATGGGATAAATGCTGTGTCATCCAAACTCTAGTTACATGGTCAGTGGAGGAGTGAGTTTTCTTTCAATAATGATAAGGTGTTGTCAGGGGAGGCAAAGTATGCATAGTGACTGGGGCCTCCTCAGTACATGGCCATGTCTTCTTGAAGATGACATCGACCCCACGTGAACTAAAGGTAGCGCTAGCAAGTGCTGGTGACTGTTTGTCCTTGAACACTGTCATGTCTTAAATATTGCAAGTGACATAATATTCTTAAAAAAAAATCCTGCCTTACTCCAGTTTGGCCAGGGTTGGTTTCTTTTGGTAGATTTCAGTTGTTCAGATGTTGTCTCCATGCTTCACATGAATCAATTCTTCCTGTGACCTTAACGGATCTGCTACATTTGACAGCATACAAGACTCAATTCTACCCCTTCTAGTGAAAAGCTATGTGGTGTTAAAAGTGTTCATATTAGAGATGGAAGGCTGAGAGGAGAAGAAGACTGGATGGAGCAGGAAGTTCACTGTACTTCAGAATACATTGACCTCTTGCAAAACTGCTTTAAAATCATTTTTAATTCACATCTGACAAAACAGTAATTTTTTCCCAAAAAACACTATTTGAGTAATTGGAATGTCTATTATATACTTATGTATCTTTTACAGTGGCCTAAAATCCTCATTAATGAAGAGTGAGATTTGATTTAACTAGGACCTTTGCAGCCTTCTTCCTGATTGAGGAGATGTTTCAATGGACTGTCTAGACAGATTATAATGTTAGTAGGAGACTAAAAATACATTTGACAATTCAGTCTCATTCTTAATTTGAGTGCATGAGCCACTGCAGATGAGCTGATAAACAAAAAGAAATCCTTAAGTGGGTTTCAGGGATAAATGTTTTTATATGATACAAAATCTAATGCAAGGACATTTATGTACATGAATAACAACATTCACCACATTTGAGAAATCACACTTCGTAATAAATTAAACATGTCATGGACCTTTATCTACATTATCTTGTCCACAGTAGGGAGTAAAGGAGGAGATTTTGTTTTTCCTGTTATTGTGGCTGGCATGCTTCAAAATTTTGAGCTCACTGGGACTGACAGCATCTCACTCCAATATGAGGGACTGATGGAATTTAAAGAGGCTCATTGATTCTGTTCACTACACCCTTCCTAGGGCAGAGTGATAATGAGATTCCATTAATGAATCAGTTTGTTTTACAAATGACATCCACTGTGGCATTGAAAGACAGTTGAGTCTAACTCAAATTTAACATTTCTTATCAAATATTCTTAAATATGTAATTGGTCTCTTCATCCAAGTGCTCTTAGTCACGGCTGTCCTTTGTGGACTACATAGAGTTCGGGAAAGTACAAAAGCTAAATGCAAAATCCCTGAGTGGCCTCAAAAATCTTTTATGATGTAGAGCAGGAGAGCTCACCCCAGATTGGTGATTTCTTTCATCTTTGGTTTTATACTCCAATACATATGCTCACTGTCACAAAAAAATGATGGGTGACTTCTCAATGTTCATTTCTTTGTATTTATGGAAAGGAAAATAATGTTTTAAGACAAGCTTCTTCCGTTCAGGAAGCTTTAAACCAGAAGCAGAGATGAGATCAAGCTTGGAGTCTGCAGGAAGAACCACCAGTCCACAGAGTCCCACTTTTCCTCCATTGTATTCCCCCCAGTTAGTCACTGCCCTGATGACTGAGTCTTGCAGAAATACAATCACTCTCAATTTTTGAAGGGCTAATTATCTGCTTTGTGCATTTGTTTTGTCTTCTCTTTCAGCTATTAGGACTTGGGCTCTATTTCCTTTTTATTAGCATTTCACCCTGAGGGTGGAAAAAGAAACCTTTGGAAATAAAATTCAAATCAGTCTATTTTGTTTCTTGTTAAATATTGACTTGTTGAAGGAGTTTGAAATCATTGGTAAAGTCAATGTCAGTGCATTATATACCATGGATTTTTATTACCCATAATGTCCCTTTCCCATCCACTACAAATAATTGAGAGTTGGCTGTATTTTTGCAGAATATAAAGGAAAAAACTGTAGCAAAGAATTTGGCTTCCCATAAAAGAAAGCTGTTTTGGTTTCGTTCACTATTGAAATTTGAACCAGTAGAAAAGGTCAACTCAAAATTGAGTTATGAGAATCTAATAGGAGCTCTTGGTTAAATGTACACTCTTATCTGTATCTTAAATCTTTGACAAAAAAAGTGCATCGTTTTGTTATTTTTTGACTTTGTGTTACTGTACTAGGCTGAATAACCTTGACACTCCAGTGGATTTTTTTAATGAGAATTTCAAATTTAAATAGTGTCCAAAGTGTAACTTTAGTGTTATGCTTTGTATTTTAAACTCTCTGGTCTTAGATTATTACGAAAGATGCTCTGTCCTCCTCCCCAAAATATGTTATTTCCTCATGTATAAAAAAGGAGTTATTCCAGACTTTTCAGGAATGGTAAAAACAATTTCAAAGAGATACTTGAAAAAGTTTTCTCCATTCTGGAAACTAATGCTTCCATTTATTTAAAAAGAAGAAGAAGATAATTGGAATCTTAATTTAAAAAAAAATATGTAAAAGTGTACTTGCTACGAAATACTCAGTTTATTGAAAATAAAAGGGACATAGCTACTTTTAAAACCCTTATTTCAGGCCATATTTGACTTCATGGAACTTCTGAAACATCATTCAATTTTGAACTTTATTTAAGAGCACTTTGTACTGCTGTCTCTGACTGTCATGAAAAGTTATGTAATTCTATGGTGTTTCTGGTTTTATTTTTAATGTTTTCATCTGTACCACAGTCAAATTCGCTACCATTTCCCCATTCCTTGGGCTTTCTGTAGATCAGTGGATGTTAGGTTTAAACTTCTGTTTTCTTTGATGAAGCTTTCAATAAAAAATGAAAATAAAATCAACGAAGTAGGGCTGTTGTGTTTTTCTTCACTCTTCCAGAGATGGGTTGAGGGAGGGCCTTGTGGGAGGGAACAGAGTCTGTATTTAACTGGGTATACTGCTGGTTTCCTACAGAATTCCACAAAAAACGAACCATCCGTGGTAACAAAAAGTGAGAGAGAAGGGAGCATTCTATTCATGCAAGGGAGCCCGAGAAAGTCACTGTTTGGGGGTTTTAGGGGACGTAGACCATGTAGGTCTTCCTAGGACCTCATACACTCCTCCCACTTTTTCTGCATAGGGATTCAGAGACCATCCAGCACCTATCTCCAAACATGCTCAACATCAACCAACTACTTAATGCATCTTGTGTGAAGGCCAGGAGACAGAGAGTTATATATAACAATAAAGAAATTTCTTTTGACACCTGTGGTTTATATCCCTGTAAGTATTAAACTCCAGGTCAACCAAAATCAGAAGTGTACATTCCTCAAGCTATAGATGACTGTGGTAGACAAATAAGCAGAAAATATATTTCTCTGGTCCAGAATCAGTCAAGCTAACTTGGAGCTCAAGTTCGAGGGCCAAAAATATTCCATGCTGTAATAAGCATTTGCTGTATTTTTTGAGAATGTTTAATTCTACTATAGAAGACAATAAAATAAATGAGGTGAATGAAATTCATATGATGTAGTCAACACAGTGAAGTGAGTAAACTTTAAGACAGATAAAATAAGTAGAGCACATAAGTGTGAACAAAAATAGAAAGAAATGGAAAGACCAAGAAAACACTGTGTATTTGTGGTGCACTGAATATCCATGAAGCACCATGTATTCATAATATATACATACTAAATATACATGAGAAACATGAGGCACTCACATTCTTGAGGTCTGAATTTGATCACCCTTTGGCACCCATAGCAGCTCATCAGGCTAGTGAGTGAATTTCAATTACTTGCCCTTGCTTCTCTCAGAGGGAGCAGGCACCTTTCATTGGCTCCTTCTCTCTGTTGCCGGCCTTGCTCAAACCTCAACTCTGGTCCTTGTAACACACCACCAGTGGGGAAGGATGATGTGGCAGAAGGAGAGGCAGGATATATGACCATTGCCGAACATTCAACTAGTGTGGTCCTTCCGCTCCTCTTGCACCCTACCCTGAATGAGTTAACCTATCCCATGGCTTTCCCCTTGCTTCTTTCTGTGGGTTTTAAATTGATTTAATAAGCCCTGTGCTTTCAGCATCTTTATTTGACCTGTGAAACTTTCTGTTCCATGACTTCTAGTATAACTTGCGTGATAATGTACCTGGAGGCTACCACTGTATCAAGGTAATTTCCCACCTGACACCTTCATGGTTTAGAATATAAGCACCTAAGAGAGGGTGTGGAGAATGCTAACCAACCAGTGTCCAGGCTCTAAGAGTGTGTTGTACAATACATATATCCCTTTTCCCTACATGAGTGAGTACCAGTTCACATTGTACTTCTTGGCTGAAGAGGAAGTTGGAAGAGAAAGGTAGAAGAATGGAATTATTGGAGAGTACAGTCAGCCCTTCATACTCATAGTTCTGCATCGGCAGATCCAACCAACTGCAGATGGAAAGGCTTGTGATGGTTGTGTCTGTACTGAACATGTACAGACTTTTTTCTCTTCATTATTCTCTAAACAATACAGTATAACAACGATTTACATAGCATTTACTTTGTATTAGATATTATAAGTAATCTAGAGATGATTTAAAGTATA